TTTTTTTGAAATAAGCATTGATTATTGGTTTGGGTAAGTGCCCGTTGCAGTCCCACAGCAGCGCCCCCCCTCACCCCTTACGACCGCGCAAGCCCTCCATCCACTCTCTGTTCGATACAGCATTAATTCTGCCCGGATTTCATTAAAGCAATCGCAAAACACTTAATACATATCCTCCTTAATGGATGAATTTGTATCGTAGCATATTACAGCATTTCCTTAATGGACTGAGAGAAACACACCTTTTCAGCAAGCTGCTCAATCCATTGCTCAATGCGTTCGAAACTATGTGGGAGAGTTTGAAAATACTGCAGGGCACGATTGGCAATATCCTCGTCACAACATGGCCGCCTTGCATCATTGACGCCCAAAATTAAACGCAACTGCAAAAGCGATGCTTCAGTTGAATGTACCGAACCTGCTCGGCAGTTTTCGGATAATGAGCTAAATCTTCACCTTAATGCACGGCAATAAAGTGAATTCTGGACTCTCGTCAACAATTTTCGCAAAATTTCGGGCAATAAAGTGATCAACTTTTTCCACCAAAATATCATCATTTATGCTTGCCTGGCGACGAATCCCTGAAAAACTCTCTTTTTCTTCGGTGCTTAGAAGATTATTTTCTTTTTTAAGAATCTAACAACTCATCATTTGTTCTCGTACTCTGGCCAAATGTTTTCCCGTAGCGCAAATCCATGTCACACGAAAAAATCAGGTTACAGCTAACATGCCATCAATGCTCGTGTAATGGCAACTGATCCAAGTAAACAACTAGCGCCGCTCATGTAATGCTCGAGTAACGCACACTTCCCATTGGTGCCCGCCCATTTATACAACTAACGACCGTTTCTGGGTGCAGTACTTGAGCATTTGCCCTAATTTACTTGTATCAGTGAGCCACCGTAGCACTGAGTTCTGGTAACGTCCGGGAAATCTTCGTGTAATATAGTCCCATCGTTCGTGTAACTATCGGGCAGCATGAGGCGGGGTTATCGCTTCGTGTCTCGCGACAACAACCACCTCATTGTGTGATGGGACGGCTATTTCACCGCATCCTCTGCTGCCGATGGACGGTAACAGAACGCGACCTCTGGGCGAGGAGCGAAGTTGGTAATCTGATGTACCTGTAATCTGATGTTTTCGTGTAGCAAGTTGTTGTGGCTAAAGCCGCGTTATTCGCTAGTGCGAATATTAGTGAACCTGTCATTCGCCATACAGGCGACTGTTCAACATTAGAGTCAATCGGCCTGCCATGCTGCCAGTGCAGTGTTGGCGGGTTCATTAAAAGCATAAAGAAATGCATGATTTAAAGAAAATCAGGTTTTTATTGCTCATATTTTAATGATAAAGAATCGGAACTAACCAATGCAGTCCAACACATTCAAATTTTTAATAAGATAACGGGCACATGCTTTGGCTACTGACATTACTTGAAGGGAATGCGCGGTCTTGTAAAGTTCACCGACTTTTTTGCTGCTTATTTCCAATCTGCAAAAAACAAAATAGAAATCTTCTACGCATTCAATT